CTCCCAGTATATTTTTCTCTTCTTTACTCTGTGAGAGTGTCAGAGCTGTCAGCAATTACCAGCAGAGATGGTGTTGATGTTTGTAGAGGGAAGAAGTGAAGAGAGTCAGAGATAGACTTGTGTCCTCGGCTCAGAAGAGTAATGGCTGTTACCTGTGACAGGCTGAAGCCGAGCCCGGTCCCTGGGGCAGAGAGTGTGTGTGTGTCTTTAATTCGTGGAACTGGACACCTGAAGTGTTCCTCTACTGTCCCGACTCCACAAGATGATTCAACAGCCCACTTCAATCAGTCCTGATGAGCCAACAGCGAGCCCTTTCGGAATCACTTCCTCCCTTCCAAAATCACACTTCCTGTCTCTTTTCCTCTCGTTTGGTCTCATTAGTGTTGTTTGCTAAGACAAGCGTCACTATTACTGTTGCTCATCGTTAGAGTACTAACACTAAGTAATAAACTTCAGTCCTGCAGCGCTTGTGGTAGAGCTGAGCGATATAACTAAAACAATTTAATATTTTTTTAATATTTTTTATTCTTTTGACAATATTATGTGGATCAATAAAATTATACTTAAATCATAAATTAATGCTTTTATACAAAATGAATGTATTAAATTGATAAAAAATGACAGCAAAGACATTTATTACGTTACAAAATATTTCTATTTCGAATAAATACTGTTAATTTCAACGTTATATTCTTTAAAGAATCCTGAAATTAACAAAAAAATAAATAAATCACTGATTCCATAAAAATATGAAGCAGTACAACTGTTTTCAACATTGATAATAATCAGAAATGTTTCTTGAGCAGCAAATCAGCATATTAGAAGGATTTCTGAAGATCATGTGACACTGAAGACTGGAGTAAAATTCAGCTTTGATAACAGGAATAAATTATAATTTACAATATATTCAAATAGAAAGAAGTTATTTGAAATTACAAAAACAAAAACTACACTATGAAATTGCATGAAGCCAAGCAATCAGACTGAGGTTTTTGAGAAATCTCTTGCTATTTTTGTGTGTGCGGTATGTGCGATGTCTGAGCCTCAGACTGCTTTGAGTTTTTGCCAGTCGTTTCTATTTATAGGCCCCTGTGAAACATTGTCCCATGTAACTAACACTGATGAATCCCTGACAATGTGTCACAATATTTGAGCCAATGAAAGAGCAGATTTGACTGTTCGACGGCTCCATCATAGCAGAGGGTCTTCATTCTGTCAGACAGGGCTGGGCGCTGAACTCTGATGTTACTTCACTTTGTCTGTTATTTTTTGACACACTCCTAAGTGTCAGTACTTTTTCGGAAAAAGCCAGCAAACATGACCAAACGAAGTGTTATTTTCTGGATTTAATCATCTGTTTCCAGACGGCACAGTGATGTCACTGAGTGGACTGTGTTGGGAAGAAATATTAAAGCTGACAACGAGTCCCTTTCTGTTACACACAAGTTCATGAAACTCATGCTAGGAAGCTCTATCTAGATCTATCTATCTGTCCATCTAGCCATCTAGCCATCCATCCATCCATCCTTCTGTCTATACATTTATCCCTCCATCCATCCATCCATCCACCATTCTGTTGTTCTATCTTTCATACTATTTATTTTTCTGTCCATCCATACATCCATTGTTATATCATTCTGTTTATCATTCTGTCTATCTGTTCATCTATCTATCTATCTATCTATCTATCTATCTATCTATCTATCTATCCATCCATCCATCCATCGTTCTATCATGATATCTATCATTCTCCAGTATCTATTGTTCTATCCATAATTCCATCCATCATTCTATCCATCTATCCATCCATCCATTCTTCTGTCTATAGATCTATTCATCCATCCACCATTCTGTTGTTCTATCTTTCATACTATTTATTGTTCTGTCCATCCATCCATCCATTGTTATATCATTCTGTCTATCTGCTCATCCATCCATCCATTCATTGTTATATCATTCTGTTTATCATTCTGTCTATCTGTTCATCCATCTATCTATCTATCTATCTATCTATCTATCTATCTATCTATCTATCCATTCATCCATCCATCCATCCATCCATCAAACCTATCTCTCTATCATCTATCTATCTATCTATCTGTCTATCTATCTATCTATCCATACATCCATCCATCCATCCATCCATCTATCTATCTATCCATCCATCTATCCATTCCATCCATCGTTCTATCATGATATCTATCATTCTACAGTATCTATTGTTCTATCCATTCTTCCATCCATCATTCTATCCATCCATCCATCCATCCATCCATCCATCCTTCTGTCTATGCATCTATCCATCCATCCATCTGTCTATACATCTATCCATCCATCCATCTGTCTATACATCTATCCATCCATCCTTCTGTCTATGCATCTATCCATCCATCCATCCACCATTCTGTTGTTCTATCTTTCATACTATTTATTGTTCTGTCCATCCATCCATCCATCCATCCATTGTTATATCATTCTGTTTATCATTCTGTGTATCTGTTCATCTATCTATCTATCTATCTATCTATCTATCTATCCATCCATCCATCGTTCTATCATGATATCTATCATTCTACAGTATCTATTGTTCTATCCATAATTCCATCCATCATTCTATCCATCCATTCTTCTGTCTATAGATCTATTCATCCATCCACCATTCTGTTGTTCTATCTTTCATACTATTTATTATTCTGTCCATCCATGCATCCATTGTTATATCATTCTGTTTATCATTCATCCATCCATCTAGAGTTTAACATTACTGGCTTATCGTGACATTTAGATCAGGTTTTTTTTCTACTGTTGTATGTGTTCGTGTCTGGGTGATGTCATTAAAGCTTTCAACAGTATTCATTTGTTCTGCACAGGTATTTCTCATCATAAAATGCAAAACTGAAGCATCTGAAGCATTTTCCATTTAAGCCTTTTATCTGGCATTAAGTGATATTTCATAAAGGCAGCTTCTCTAACATCTACACTAGTACATAGAAAAATCAAAGTCCTGATTACATGTTAGTCATCCATTTCTAGTCTGATTTCTACAGCGGTCATTCCCAGTGTGCGAACTGACAGCTGATCTCCTCGCTCTGACTGCAATGTAGTGGCTGCCTGCTGTCATTGCTTGATTGATGCTTCAGCCTCTGGAGCATTTCAGTTGTCATGCTGCATTGAGCTAAATCACACCGTACCACAGACTTGTGCTTACATTACAGTGACAGTCTGTAAGGCCACGGGGCCTGAGGGAATGTATATTTTTTCCCCTACAATATGTACCCAGGGGTTGACCATCACAAATAATTACAACAACATGACACAAAGATAGTAACAAAAAATAAAAACACATAAAACGCCATTGGTGTTAATGTATCTCGTAAACAAACGCAACAACCCAAGTTTGAATATTAAAATGCACAATTAGATGATTTTATGGTATTTTTTCATTGTAAAACAAGATATGTTCTCTATTATGTTTTAACTTTAAATATTAGAATGGGGTTAAATAGACAAACAAAAATAACAATAGTATTTTTATTAAAAATGGTTTTGCCTTTAAAATGAAAGTCTATAGCCATATTCAGACTTGTTTTACATGAGGTAATTCCAGCATTTACAGATGCTAATTGGAAATACTTGTGCTTTTAAACCTGTTAATTAACATTTTGTACTTTGATTAAAAATAACTTCAAAACAGAGAGAGCAATAGATAGGAATATAGAATGATAAATAGATACACTGTAAGAAAACAATGTAAAAACAACGGTTCTTCTGTAATTCTGTGGTGCTAATTATTATTGTACTACTTATTTTCAAGTAGCATCAACATTTTGGTAAATATTAAAGTCAGGTACATTTTAGAACTTTTATTGTTAATTATGAAACATTGGTTTAGTACAGATACGTTTTTGTTCTAATTTTGCATGTTTTTTTGTTTTTTTTAGATATTTTGCTTTTGCAAGGATGCGAAAATTATAGAAGTTCCTGTAACATTCTGGAATAATCTAGAATATTCTAGTGCTTTCTGGGACATTCCAGAACATTTTGGGACTAGTCATAAAAGACTAAAATCATCCAATGTACACTTTTGAAATTTTGGGCGACTCACTTTTGGTGACCGTTTATGCTTTCATGAGCACTGTTAATGATACACAAAAAGTAATGGGATTTTCATATTCAGCATGTCAAACTTAATAAAGAAACATTAAAAATAAAAGCAAAACTAAACAAAAAATTAGTTTCACAGTGTAATGTCCTGGCAGAAAATGACCAGTACCTTTTCCAAATAAAGTTCCATTAAACTCCTTTAACTCTACAATGCAATGTGTAATTCAAAAGACACGGTCGAGTACAATTTCAGGTAAAGCACATGAGAATAATCAAAACAGAAAATACATTGGGCCGTAGACTTTTTAAAGCATTGTATGTATAGTGCACCTCTTTAAAATTCCTCTCCTGTGGTGTGAGGGAGTCACCACTCGAACCCTGTCATCCAGGCCCTAAAAATAACTGTCCTCTGATCCAAGATCCCATGTGAATGAACACACCGGCAATGTAAGCCATCTCATCTGTACAGATTCAGGTCATCTTAAACACTCCACATGTGAGACCTGTATGCATCGCTTCCCAGTTTACTGGTGTCTTTACTACTATATTGTTTTACTAGAAGGACCATGTAAACTAATGGCATTTCCAGCAGCTCAAACAGTAGAGCACGGTGCTAGCAATATGGGTTTGATTCCTAGGGAATGCATGAACTGTATATCTTAAATGCAAAACAGGTCGCTTTGGATAAAAGCATCTGCCAAATGCATAACTGTGAATTCAATTTCTGCGATGTGCAACAGTGCACAGTATGCATCTGTTTTTAGTATGCATGGATGACCTAAAATGTGCAACTAAAACTGTTGGAATCATCACAGCAGATTTTTTTTCACCAAGCCCCCTGGAGGTGTGTGGCGTCGCTGTCATGCTGATGATTTATTTGTGTTTTTTGCTAACAGGAGATGGTAACCCTAAGGAGAGCAGTCCATTCATCAACAGCACCGACCCAGAGAAGAACCAGCAATATGACGGCAAGAACATGGCTCTGTTTGAGGTACACATGAGCGCATGCTCGTTAAATGATAAGCCTGCAACGGCGGCACATTTCAGCTCTCATTAGAGCTACACAGTGAGGCACATGCACGCAAACTAAAGTGATTAAAGGAATAAAAGAGTCTGACAGTAATTAATAAGGATAATTAGCATTTGAAGGGCAGGAAGTCCCCAGGACATTGAACTCTGCAGGTGGATGATAACAGCATGTAAGTCCAAAAGTGTAAAACACATGCTGTACTGCATCTAAAAATATTAAGAAATGCCTTTATGTGGTCTTATAATTAAGTCAGAGATGCCAAAACTTTTTAATACAAAGGGCCAAAAATCAAACTTGACTGAAGGCTGTGGGCCAAAAGTAAATGTTAAAATGTTTTTTTAATTTGTAAATTATTTTTTAATTTCATTTCATTTCAATGCAAAAAATAAAACAAAAAAAATTAAACAAAGATATAAATTAGAAATGATTGATTGGGGGAGAGGATTGGAGGCATCTCTGATTTAAGTGAACTGCCAAAAATGTATTGAAATGTTGATCTGTTATAGGACCTAAATTATAAAGTTTGTATGCATTTATATGCATTTTAAACTAAAATCTTAATGCTGGGAGAAAATGGTAATGTTCATCTAAAGGTAGCTGCCAGAAAAGTCTAAAATGATATTTTGATTTACGTTTATGTCTGTATTGTTTTTCCTAGTTGGCAATGAGAGGACTTTGGACAAATGGAGGCTTTGGCTTAAGACCACAATAATCTCAAATGTGTCTCCTCTAGAGTTTCAGAAGATATCTAAACAGTTGCAATTAAAACCACAACAAAATCAAATTAGCAAATAAAAGATCTCTATGTGGCCTTAAACATTTCTTCTGTTTTATGTGCATACATTAAATGCATTAATGTAACTGCAAATTCAAAACATTTTCAATAGTCAATGAATGCTAGCGTACTAATTGTTCTTTCTCTGCAGTATGCAAAAGTGCACAGTGTACATATGTTTTTAGTATGCATGGTTGAACTACCACATTTGATAAAATGTGCATTAAACACGTTATACTAAAATGTGAATTGCTGCTATCATCAGTTCTTATCAAATTCTCACTAGATCAAATGATCTGAGCTGATATATGCAGCCATTTTATAGCTCTTTACTCCTATTGTGATTTAATTGTTTCTGTTTTTATTTTTTTCTGACGATATAAGAATATTATGACATATTAAACTAAACATGAAAACGAAACACAACTGAGGGTCTCATGAGCTATTAAAGAGCAAATTCTGAGCAAAAATTGTCCTCTGAGCTAGTCGTTTGTAATCTGTACATGTAAACATGACATTTTAGATGTTCTTCACAAGCTACTTGAATTATTTAATGCTTACAATATTTGTTCTGTATGTGTGTGTGTGTTTACTCTACAGGAGGAGATTGACACAATTCCCATGGTATCGTCTCTTCTCAGCAGTCTTGCCAACTACTCAAACCTGCCCCAGGGCAGCAAAGAACACGAGGAGGCGGAAAACAACGAGGGCTCGCGCAAGAAACCTGTCCAGGTAGACATACACGCTTACAGCACGCTCTCAGAGCAGCAGATATCACACAATTTCGTCTAGCTCTCGATTGCTACAGGTGTACATTAATTGGCTGCTGCCAGACAGAGCGTATAAACATAGCGAGATCTCGGATGTGACTTCAACCAGTGTGTAAATGACAGCTCTCAGCTCTGTCTTGCACTTTTGACCTGTGACCTGATCTCCCTTGGTCCCTTGCCATCCCAGAGAGAGTGTGCTCATTAGAGCGTCGCCTCGATCAGGCTCATAACCTCCCTCATGGCGATGGCCTTTCTCAGTCTGTTTCTAAGTCACTTGTGTGCAAATTTGTTTCCAACTTTGTGTGTGATATTAAAGGACTGTTAAAAAAAATATGCATAAAAAACTTCTGCATATAAGCAACTTCTGGGAGTCTTGGTGCACTAGTTGTGCAACACAACTTGTGTTGAGGTGTCATGGTTGATAAAGGTTTGATAAAATTAGTGCTTTCAATTACTTTTATTTTATTTATTTTAGTATTTAGTTTTTAGTCTTTCAGTTGCCTTGAAATAGTATGAATTTAAAGGCATCATTTTTGTAGCAAATTACGCAAAAAAAACGAAGCATATTTTATATACTATTATAATAGTCAACCGATATATCTGCCGTTATTTTGCATTTTTTAATTATGTCATTGATGTCATATTATGATGGTGTGAGGGACTTTTATTTTGATGGTGTTGAGAGTGCCTGAGCGCATGAAGTTATTTATTAGTTTGCTTTTTCTGCATAATAATAAATTATTAGCTAGAACTGTCAAACAAAACATGCAAACATTATGTAAATGGATTATAGTGTTTGCATTTCTATTATTAGTAATAGAAAGGAAAACCACTTTCATAAATACGTTTCATTTTTATATCATTTAAACAAGTGTTTGCGAAAAATACTATAATAGGATTAGAGACAAAAATAAGTTGCCATCTACATAAATCTGTTTATTTTACAGATTTTTTTCAAATTCAAATTTTGTTTTATTATGAATTTATTTTCAGATTATGTACGCCGTTATTATACATGAATTTTTACTTTGAATTAAATAGTGTGGTGGTATGTGTGTGTGTGTGTATATATCTATATATAATTATTAATGATTATTTATTAATATATAATTAAATTATTTAATTAAATTAATTAAATTATTAATTAAAATTATATATATATATATATATTTTCATTTTTTTAATTTTGGTTTAAGTTTTAGAAATGTTTGGTTTTTATTAGTTTTTATATATTTTATCTTTTTTTTTCAGTTTTCATTTTAGCAATTTAAGCACTTCAAGTTATTTTATTTCAGGTTTTTTATTTTTTTTCAACTTTTATTTTATTTTAGGCAACATTTATGTTTTTTTAAGTTTTTTGTCTTATGTTTTGTATGATCTCAGCTTTATTTCAATGCCAAAAATTATTTTGAATAGTTTCAGTTTTAGTTTACAACTCTGATTCTCTCAGTAATTATTTTTTACAGAGAGTCTCTACTGAGCATGTGCAAGACATTTAACATGCGTTTATCTCCTATTATAATTCCCCTCTGGTCTTCCCTACTCAAACAGACAAAATGACCAAAACCCTAGTAAAGGTGAAACCCTGTCATACATCATCCCTCAGCTGTACGGGGAGAGCGAGTGGGAGAGAAATGAGAGTAAAATAGAGAGCCAAGATGGAATTGGATTTGTGCTCTCGACTCGATCGAGGAGAGCGATAATCTTCCTCTTGTTTCACACTGCGACTTCGACTTAATTAGCTCATCTTGCAAAGCATCTGCTCTCCAATCAGCCTCCATTTTGAGAGGGTCAATCCGCTCATTTCCAGCAGCAAATGTTCTCACGTATCCACACGTACGCTCTCATCACCAATCACATCGCCAGGATTCAGCCGAGCTCAACACAAGACTAGAACTCTGTCTCTCATTCTGAAGACGTCTTTACATTGCAAAAATGGCACAAAAGCCACATCTGAAGAGGCATCTACTACGCTACCGTTCAAATGTTCGGGGTCAAATTTTTATTTTATTGAGCAAAGATGCATTAAGTTGTTCAAAAGTGACCATAAAGACATTTACAATGTTACAAAAGATTTATTTCAAATAAATACTGTTGGGTTTTTTTTACTTTCTATTCATCAAAGAATCCTGAAAAAAATGTATCACGGTTTTTTACAAAAATTTGAAGCACAACTGTCTTCAACAGTTAATGTTTCTTGAGCAGCAAATCAGAATGATTTCTGAAGATCATGTGACACTGAAGACTGGAGTAATGATGCTGAAAATTCAGTTTTGATCACAGGAATAAATTACATTTTAACATATCTTCAAATAGAAAACTGTTATTTTAAATTGTAAAAATATTTCACAATATTACTGATTTTACTATATTTTGAATCCAATAAATACAGCCTTTGAGAGCGGAAGAGACTTCTTCCAAAAACATAAAGAAATATCTTACAGACCTCAAACTTTTGAACAGTAGTGTGTACTAGAGATGTGTACTTTGCTCATTTTGACTATTTGCGTACTGAATACATAAATGAGACAAGAATATCTGACTTGCGTTTTTTTTCTTGGCAGACATTAAAATAGGCAAAAAGAATCTTTGCATTAGCAATTCTTTTAAAGTAGTAAATAAAAACAAAGATTATTGGATTCAAGGTTACTTGCCGTTTCTTTGTAATTTTTTGTGACGTTTACTAGCAATTTTAAGTGAAAATTGTTTCAAAGTAAATCCTACACCATTTCTTTTAGTCTTTGTATAAATCTAGTAATGTTTGCAGTTCAGTTGTGGTGTAGAAATGTTGTGTTGCTGCAACTGCTTGTGTTGATTGGTCTTACCGTATTGATATAGGCTGATTACATGCATGAAATGTTATTGTTCTCCTGAAGGATGATGTAAGATGAGCTATGAAGTAGTTTTTGCCTCATAACGAGAGGTTATCAGATGTTCCGGGCAGTGACATGTGGTCGTTACAGTTGCCATATGCTCTCTGTAGACCACTAGCCAACGCTCGCCCCACACACACACACACACACACACACAGAGTGAGTCACAGGAAAAATGCTAATTCATGTCAAGCTCTGAGGGACGGGGGCGCAGAGCAGTTATTTGTGCAATTTCTGAATATGCTGGCGTACACACAGTAATCCGTGTTGGGCTGACAGTGATAGTCGCTGCCCTTTTCCTTCCCCTGCCATTGCTGTGGTTTTTAATAATTCACCCCGTCTGAACTAAGTCACATTAACACCGTCAGCTCCTGTTTGGGCAGCCAAGCGAGAGGAGACTATTACAAGCTCCTTACTTTTCTCCTCTGCTCTTCTGCCTCTCTGCCATCAGTTATCAGTTCGTTCGTCAATCCTGATGGCATGCAAAATGCACTTATGTTCATAAATGGTATGAACATATTCATGTCAGAGTCATGTTTTGAGAAAATTATATTTTGCTTAAAATCAAGCCTGTTTTTAGGATCATTATGGGGTTTTTGTATTGCAGCATTATTTTAATGACAATTAAACACATTTTCCCCCATAGCAAAATAATCTCATTACTGTATGAGAAACTGTCAACATGTTTATAGCAGCTCTCTGAATAATAACATCTGCTTTAATGACACAGACATTTGAAGAAAGCTCAATCACACCCTTGAGTACTGATGTGTGTTACTGCCAGAGGAATGCAAGAACATTCATATTTTTATTCAGCAAGGATACATTAACTTGATCGAAAGTGACAGTAAAGACATTTATAATGTTATAATGTTTCAAAAGATTCTATTTCAAATAAATGCTGCTCTGTTGAATTTTCTAGTCATCAAAGAATCCTGAAAATAAAATGTATCACAATTTCCACAGAAATCTGAAGCAGCACAACTGTTTTCAACATTGATAATAATCAGAAATCAGCAAATCAGCATATCATAATGATTTCTGAAGGATCATGTGACACTGAAGACTGGAGTAATGATGCTGAAAATTCAGCTTTGCATTTTACAATATATTACAGAAGAGAACAGTTCTTTTAAATGGTAATAATATCTCATAGTATTACTGTTTTTACTGTATTTTTGATCAAATACATGCAGCCTTGGTAAAAAGAAGAGAAATTTAAAAACACTAAACTTTTGAACCGTAGTGTATGTACACTGTTTAAAATGCTTATTTTTGGCCTTACTGTGATCCAGTAAGTGTAAATTAATACATGCAATATCTTAAATATGGATAATTAAGAGTTAGAGAGATTAAAAGTTTGGAGATTAAAAACCTAAAACTCAAGAATAATTTGAAACCTATTTGTTTTAAAGTAAAACTGTTGTAAAAGAAAAAGAAAAAAACTTTGAGGGACACATTTCAACACCAAGTTTTAAATCTCATGCTATTTCAAACCTGTATGACTTTCATTTCATTAATATTTTGATACATCTCACTGTCCAAAGTCAATCAATTTTTTTTTTTCAGAAAACATAAAGAAACAGAACAGTGAACTATTTTGAACTATTTGCAAATAATATTTTAAAATATGCACACATGCACTTTTATTTGCATGCTTAATATGTTGAAAACAAACCTTTTCTTGTCTCATCACATTTAGTTATAGGAATTACATGAATTGCGTAAATGATACCATATTTTAATTTCAAAATGGCCATATTTGATAAAAAAAAGTCGAGTAGTCTGGATATTACTGTTTAACATTTCTATCATAAAACAGTTGTCAAATATTAAATGTAAAACAGTAAACCCCGCCTACTTTGATTTGATTGGTCATCTCAGTCATTTTGACATTGACGAGCGCTGTCAGACCACTGAGGCAGGCCAGCCTAAAAATATGACTTTTAAATCTTTTTGTCATCCTAACAACAAAGAACTTTTCAAAGATTTTCAAATTTTGGGGGGACAATTTAACCACTAATTACTCGGGGGGACTCATCCCCCTCAATGTCTATTGTGGTTACAGCCCTGCTTCGGAAAATCTACT